TCAGCTAGAACAGACATTTTAAGATCTAGCCAACGCAGTATCCAATTTTGCTGGGTTTTTTACTGTTCTACATGCTAACACATTTTGCAGTGATTGGTACAGTTAACAATGTACAACTTCTCCAAAGATCAAACACCAAGAACATTTATGGCTTCTATAGGGAAAGTCAGATGTGTCATTAGCACTATTTACAACTTTCAATCCTTGCACAACTGAGGCAGTTTTGTCTCTTTTTAAGCTCCCCACTAAGGCCTCATCCTTCATTTCTGACTTTCCTCAAATACTTGGGGCTGCAGGAAGCATTCAAGGTGCTGGCTCCTTCACTCTACCACGTCCCAAATGCTTGGATTTCCCTTGAGGTTATTTAAAAAAGCACTTAAGTACAATTGCTTGTCGATTTTGAATATCATGCAGACAACATAGCGATATCCAGCAGCCTCACCCACATTAGACAAGACATAAAATGACAATAGTCTTGGAGGGTCTTTCAGAAATATGAGTTATTGATACAAGTACCAATATGGGGTATCGGTACAAGTACAGAGCCCAATATTTTTCCTATTGAAGCCAACTGCAAAAGTTTTTTCCCTGGCTTCCAAGGGAAGGGGCTGAATCCTGTCTCGAAAACATTCATGCCACTGATGAATTCCACATGGATATTTTAAAGCAAGCAAGAAAACACCTCTTCTCTTGAGGCATGTGATTCACACACATACACAGTTAGGTACAGAGGGTTCATCAGGGTTCATAGCGCCCATGATTTCAAAAGGCAATTTACACTGCCACAACAAAATGCTTTGCATAGATGGTTTCTGAAAAGATGAAAGTGCAGAAATCTGGAAGGGAGTGTGACAGTCACAACATTTCTGCTTCCAGATAAGTTTGTTGGTTACACAGACCATTAAAAACACAGTATTGCTACTGCACCATATCTACAGTATATTAAAAATATATTTGGAAACAAGTAAATAAGAAACGAGGCTGCTCTTCCTGCTCAAGATCAGGGCCCAGTTGTGGTGGCTTCCTCTGAAGTGTACCAAGCTTTAATGGACTTCACTGGATTTTGGAAAAAAACGTTAAGCGTAAGTACCGACTCCAGGTGAGCACTGGGCTTTCATTCCCAGGGCATCAGATCTCTCCAGTATTTTCCAGGGAGTTCTACCATTAAGGACTGCTCAATTTTGCTATGTTTCCTTCCTAAAACACATGTAAAAGTTCCAAGGGTTTCTGCACACAGTTGCAAAGCAGATAGGGCAAAAGGATCATTTCAGAGCTCTCCATTTTCATTACCTGAGCTTGTGCTCTATAAAATCAGAGCCCTGATGACAAACCTCCAGGCCTCAGAAGATCAAAAGGAGAAATTCCCTCTCACTTCATGTCTCAACATTGTGTTCACCTCCATTTTCCTTACCTACAACCAGAGACTGCTTCCTCCTGCTGTGTGCAACCTGGCAGGTACAGCCTACCTCCTACCATGCCATTGAAGCCTGGGGAGCAACATTGTAGCTCCAATCTCCTCCAATTTTCCCTACAAGACTTTTTCCAGGGGCTTGCAGCCCACAGCATGTCTCCTCCCAGGCATCCCAACGAGAGGAGCAGCCATGGCATAGCTCCCTGCTTTGCAGGTCATGAGCTGACTTTCCGAGCTCTTGAGCAATCACTGACAGTATCCTAAAATATTATAATGGACCTATTGCTGTTAATCCATTCTGGCCAACAGCAGAGTTGGATTCCATAGATCCAAAGCAAGATGCTATATGATTTCAGCTAAATACATCTCTCCCTTTGATAAGGGCACTGGCAGATCCATAAGCCTCCTCTGATGACCTGGCAGTAACAGAGCTGTGCCTGTGCTGTGCTCCTGGCTGTGCCCTTCTCAATTTGCATTGCCAACATATGCAGATCTCAGGAACTTCTTAAGAGAGTCTCCACACTAACACCAGGAATGAGTGATTAACCCATAATAATACCAGGAGTGAGCGATTAACCCATTATATTATAATTTTCTTTCTCCCTGACTCAGATTTCATATTCTCAGCAGTAGAGCCAGGATTAGTCTGAGCCCAGGCAGTGATAGCAGAGAGCTGACAGCCTTTATTCTTGAACAGGTTTTTGCATCAGGGGGGTTTCTCTGGGGCCCGCGGGCTATCCTGTGGGAAAGGAAATCATATGCTAAGCAAACACTGCATAGCTGAAACCTCCCTGGTGGTCTTTACTTGCTGCCCCTAGAGAACATAAGAGCTCGGGGGATTCATCCTTGGAACTGGCTCCCACGAGCTGCAATGGTGACATTTCCATAGTGCTTCACAGAAAGTGCCGTATGGCAGTAGGAATTTGATTTTACAGAGCCCAGTGCAAGATAAAGAAAGAGGCCAAATATATATATATATATATATATATGCTTATACTTATGGCATTTCTAACAAAAATGCCATAGCTTTTCTTCTATCATTTTTTGAGCAATGACAAGAACAAGAAAGAAAACATGTTGCAATATGCATGCCTTTTAAAGGACTATTTTATATTTATTTCTTTGAAGATCTTTCTGGCTTGAAAATTGCTCCCTATATCTAACTATACACCTATATACATCTTCACAGACATATCTGGACCTGTTTCTGCAGTCCCTACACAAATAAATCTCCATGAATGGGAGTTTTTTTCAAATAAATGGTGCAGGATTTGGCCTTTGGTGTGTATGTGTGAGTATCCTGCACACGTGTTTTTAAATCATTAAAAAAATATAGTAGCTATAGACTTATAACCAATCAAAATCTAAAGTAAAACTATACTTATTACAGTATAGCCTATAAGTTACATTATTCATTTGTATGAAGCAAACAAAGGAAAGGAAATGTCTGACTGTTACAATTTTGCTTATCCTTTTTCCTGCCCCAAATGTCCAAAAGGATTTTTGCAATTAAAAGAGGGATCTGCACCATTTCTTTCCAATATGTGGATGCTTTTCACGTGCTTTTCCCATCTCTTGCAACATATCAGACTCCTTTCCATTCCTTTTGTTCACCTCAATCATCAAAGTGAAGAAAAAACCTTACCAAAGAAAGTATCCTTAGCAAAGCAGCAGCAACAAAGCAGTGCTGAAGTCACTGCTAGACCCTTACTCAGGCAGAAAAAAGAAGTAAGGGCTCTAGGTACGAGCTTCAGCATCATTCCCATTATTATAAAGCTTAATGCGCAGCAAAATGGCCAACCCACTGGCTGACATTGCTCTCTACATAGCACTTCTGTTACAGCACTTCATTATCAAAGCCCTTTGCACATTAACTTACAAAACACAGCAAAGACAGAGACTTCTTTTGCATATTAAATCACGGAAACCATTTTATCTACAAGTTCATTCTCAGTGTGCTGTGTATCTTACAGCTGGGCGACACGGCGCGATAGTCACTAACACACGGTACGAGTCTAAGACGAAAAGCACGACGACACAAACAGGAAAAGCTTAAGCACAGGTCTCTCCTGTGCTGGTCTGGCTGCTATTTCCCAAGCACTGACACTTGTATCGAAGACACGGGCTGCTTTTAAATTAATCTGGAGTCTAGTGCAAAGCTGGAGAAATAACCACTCTCGTGCCATCCAGGCCGCTACTGATCAGTGGGGACTCTGAAATGGTTTTGGCTTCCTTTTTGATCACTTCATCTGTGAGTGTGAGCAACTCCTGCAGTTGTCAGCAAAGCACAGGGACTTTTAAAGAAGTCTGGTGCATTCATGCATCATAAAACGAAAATCTAAGCTCTGACTTGGATTTAAACCCTCTCCTGAGATGGAAAAGTATCTTTCATACAGCACCAGCACTTGATACTCTAGATCCTTGACCAAAGATCTTATAATCTAAGAAAGTCAAGACAGGGCACTTTACAGGGCCCAAGTGCTTTAGTCTATGAACTTACACTAGAAAACTCTGTTCGTTTTTGTATGTTGGCACAGCTCAAACAGCAAACCTCACCCTCCTGTATGTGATCATACCAGTATGAAAGGGCACAGACCAGCAGACTACCACACTGGGTTGCAGCAGCCAAAATAAATTGCAACAATATGTGATATCTTTTCTCCATCAGGATTTTGCCAGTTTAACTATATCAGCTGAAAAAAATGCAGCCTGGCATAACTGAAGGAGTCATGCTAGTTGCTTTCTAAAGGACATACCAGCCCTTTTATTGTCTTGCCATAATAACATTCTCAACACAAACAAAAGCCACATTAGGACATTTGAGGTCTTGGGATGCATGTTTTAAAACATGCCTCAAATCCAAACCACAAAATATATTTACTCTCTTCTAACTTCATTTCCTGCAAGTGTTTATCATGGATGCCCAAAAATATCTCATTAGACCTGCACAACAGTCGACTGGCATTCAGATACACTTATAAAATCTTCTATAAAAACAAAGAGGAAAAGCTTTTACCATGTTATGCTGTGACAATTGAACAAAAAATCAACTCAGAAAATATAACTAGACTACTCTCCTTGCTATTCAGCCTGAGTAAAGCTTGCAGAAGGAGCACAGTTCTTCAGCAAGGACTCCCATCTGAAGCTAAGACCATCGCTGTAGGAGAAAGCACACACATACTTGCATGTTAGCTAGAAGAAAAATACTACAGACTGTAAGAAAGGAAACAGCATCAGCAAAGGAGACCAGAGCTATGAGACACTGGAAGGAATCAAAAGGAAGAAGCACCAAAACAACTGCACACCATGATCAACACAGTTGCCTTTTGCTAGGATGAGAGTATAACATTCTTTCCTACCTTTGCTAAATAATTTGTCATCTATTTACTCCTATCACATTTAAATGCAAATTTTCACCAATATTTTTGTGAAATTACAGAATAAAGATCTCAAGTTATACACTTGCCATTAGAACTGTAATGCTAAAGAATATTTTCAATAAAACCAAATGCCAGAGAACAGTACCTTTAATAAAATCGAGCAATGCTCAAGGCATTCAATCAGAAACTTACGTAAAGCCAGTCTATGCTAAAAATCTCCACCACTGATTCTTCCCCAAAATTTGGTGCTTTTCCTCAAAGTGAATGGATAGATATATTAATGTGCTCTGTATCACGCTAAACCTATTGGAAATGTGCTTCTCATCTGACTTGCTTTCCAGGGCAGTGCATATCCTGGGACAGAGGAGTTAGGCTTTACCCACACTGTTACGGACCCTACTCTGCTAGCAGGAAAGATGCTGGTATCCTAGATCCTACGGGATGCAATGCCTTCAGGAAATTTATATCAAAGGATTATTGCATAATTTCAGGGTGTAATAAAACCTCTTACACCGTACATAGGCATTGAGTTCCCTTTGCACTTTTGTGTCGGAGGAAGAACTGTCCCCGTCAACAGCAACTGCAGGTCCCCGTATGAACCCGCAGGATCCCCTTGCTGTGCATGTGGAGTAAGTTGAAGATTTCTGAGGGCATCGCATGAAAACCGGGGCGAGGTTTGACATTGTCATAGTAGTGGTGAGTTATAAAAATCCCTGAGGGGTTCATAGGGAAGGCCCAAAAGCCGAAAAGGTGGACCTCTTCGCAGAGCTCCAGAGCAGCAGTCACCAGGATGAGGCCGGTGCTGATCCGCTTGGCCCGCACCCCTAGACCAAGCCAGTAGCGCGAGACGTTGATGAGATACTGGGGATGGAAGTAGTAAACAGCTTGCTGGGATTCAAAATCATCCAGGACGTACTTGACCCGGATCGAGACATCCGTGTTGCGGGTGTTGTAGAAAGCCGGCAGCAACACAGAAGCGTTTTCATAGACCTGGAGCACGTCATAGAAAGGTTTCCTCCACTTCTCCAGCTTGTGGAATCTAAAGGAAAAAGACGAAAGGGAGGGTCAGACCAGCAGTAACTTCACTTTTGACCCAACAGACAAAAACCTTGAATGGGATTTGTGCAGAAACGCTTCTGGTGCAGAGGTAATTGAAATTATGTTTCAGTTAAGAACAGGAAAATACTTAGATTGGTAAGTACCTAAAAGAAAGCATCAGCATGAAATGTAGGACAAAAATGAAGGAGGAGAAAAATATCTTCATCCCTCCTTTTGTAGCACATTCACTGAACACTGGGGAAACCTTGTAGACATTTCTGGCCCTTTTTCATCTCTCATTTAATTATCAAAAGAATGCATTTTTTCCAAGGATGACCAGCTTTATTGTGCACTTCACAATGCAGAACTGTATAAAAAAGTAACAAACAACAAAGCTAAGCAAAACCTTCTGTAACATGTCCAACAACTGTAGAATTAAAAAAAAAAAAAAGCCTGCAACAGCCTGGAGCCTCCAAGTCTTGTAAATATCCAAAAACTCCATGGTATTCAGGTATTAAGGATTTTTAAATGAAAATTATTCTGTCAATTCTAGCTACAAAAACAAACTGTCATTTTTAAAAACATGGATGGCATCCAGTTTCCTTTCAAGCTACTGCATCTGAGTGGTTGGCATGGGGCTGTAGGCATACATAGGACTTCGGGGGAAGGATGGCTCTGCTATTATCAATATACAGGCCCAAGTATTTAAGGCATTTCTACAGATTGTTATTGATTTCTTATACTGAATAATTTCAATTCAGAAAAAAATGCATGATTAACAGCATCAGTTTTCAGTAGTATTAGAAAAAACCCTCCTCTGTAAGAGTTAGGATTTAGTGAAAGGTAGCTTTGGAAAAGTGATAGGAGGTGAAAACACAAGAAACAGAGAGAAATGACCTTTCAGTAATTATACTGGGATTGACAGTCACGACATCTGTCTTCACCCCCACGTCTGTGATGTATTTCTCAGATATAGGAGGCAAATTGCACCTATAAAGAAAAGAATTAAGAAAGTTAAACAATTCCTTACACCTTTTCAGGTCTGTAGATTTGATTTAAGCATTTTTTTTTCAAGCTAGAAACAGTTTGTAGATTTGTAATTATAGCAAAATACATTGATGCCTAAACTGGAGTATCAAAATCACACATCCATAGGGACTGTAAGAAGACCACTGTTCTTCCCTGAGTCAGTCAAAGCTGACCCCTTTTGTAGACATAGCCAATATTCACTCATTTTGATGCCCTAAGAGCAATTCAACTGTTTATTTGGGCAACTTAGTACTGGAAAAGTTGGGAATAAACCTCAATGACAATCGACCTGACCTTGCTCAGCCTCCACTCACCCACTGGCCCAGCTGCATCATCCTACAACATTTAGTGCATCCCCGAAGCAATGCTGAAGTAATTAAAACACACCAAACCACACAGAAATCTATTAACCAAGTTCCACTTCCAGGGGAAACATGGATTGAAAAAATAAAAAAATCTGAAGCATGCACCATTAGCAGAAGAACAAGGAATGACTGGTGTTAGATTTCAACTGAAATTTCCAAAATCTTTGGAAGTGCTCCTAAAAACCATCACCGCTTAGACACCTGAATTGCACATCTCAAAAATACCACCTTCCCTAATTCCCAAACACCTCAAAACTTCTCATCTACAACTCTCAGGAACCACAAAGACACTTATGTGATGCTCAGTGTTTTCAAAATATTAAAGTTGACTCCCAGCCCTTAGAATACAATTCTTCTATCAAGAACAGGAGGGGAGCGTAAAAGTCCTTCAACATCTTCTCAGACTCCGGAGATTCACATCACATCACACAGGAGCTCCCAAAGAGTCTCTCTCTATTAGATCAGAGATTTTTTTTAATTTGTCCTTCTCAAGGACAAAGTTATTTCCAGCACTTCTCTCTGCTAGTTCATTCAATGGACTTTCAAGGTCCTCAGTTACACCTAGCACCAAGCACTAGATTGATGCGATTACATTCAAAAAGGTTTTCAAACACTCAGCACCAATAGTGGTTAAACACTCATGGCAGGATTAAGAAGGGTAAATTCACTGAAAGTGATAATTTACTGTAAACGTTATACAGTCTGCATAAGCTGTATTTTTCTTTAGGATTAAAAACAAACACACCAAAAAAAACACATGATTTTTACATCCATGAGAGTAGTTTTGTCTCCAAATGTACTCAATGTTTCATCATAAATTTCCACTCTGGCCAGTAGATGGAGATAGACAATAACAACTAGGAAATTATATTTATGTGTATGCATTTTGTATATTCTACTGCAATGTAATTAACTGCTTTCCCAAATTATTTCACAGGAAGAATCTTGGTTCTACCCTACTAACCACAAGCTTCCTGCCAATATTAAAAGGCTTACACAAGCATCCTGAAAGTGTCCATGAATCTAGTTGTGCTCCACAGACTGTTTTTAAACTATTTTAAAGAGTCATTTTGTTGGCAACTAAGATGGTGCTTTCCAGCAGTTTGTCACACCTGGGTGTGCCCTTCATTTCTACCACACTAACAGTTATGATTCGGCATAGCAGAAATGAATCTACTGTAATTATTTAATGTATATAGTTTATACTAGGCTTTTAAGCTGAAGTAAATTATGTCGTCTGGACTGTGCTACAAATTAAAATTAGGACACTAGCTTTATATAAAGACGGCCCCAGAGGCAAAAACAGGGGCTCTGAAAATATTAATAGTGAAGGTAGGACCTACAAAATATTTCTCATTTGATGCCAAATTAAATTACTAAGACGATGAGCCAAAATCTGACCTATTTTTTCTAGTATGAAATCAGAGAAAACTATTGATCTATGTACAGTTACTCTAGACTTACAGCAATGTACCTCAGGTCAGAAAAGGACCAAGAGAGATAAAAGGTTTTTCATTTTTTACAAAAAACATCACAAACCTGTGAGTTGGCTGTCATATGCCATGACTCAGGCAAAGAGCTTAACAAGTTTCAGAGAACAATTAGACATGCAATTAAATAATAACAACATCTTTCCTTTATATATTAAGGATGATGAAACTCCCTAAAGATGATAAAACTCCATCCAGCTTGGTGACACAAGCTGTATATCCCCCATAACACAAAATGTGGAAGATACCAGATATGGTGGGAAGAGCTGCAGAAAGACACGCAGCCTTCAAAAGCACTTGGGTATCCCTCAATACCCTGGAGTCTACAGGACTGAGTGGCAGTGCTGAGCTGGCTCTTTGCAGTCACATTCCTCCTTATCTGAGACAGGAAAAGTATAACATAGAGACACCATCTTCAACCTTCTAGCTTGTCTTGGGTTTCTGTGGCCAGATGGTGCTCAACCTGATTTAGTAAACAATCTGTGACTTGTGCTGTGCAACCAAAGTGACAGCACGGTTTCAGAAATACAGGTCCAAGGCACATGTGTTGCACCAGGATTGAATTATTAAGCTCTGGCCAAGCTGTGTACCACACAAAAGAGGAGAAAAAATCCCTGGGAAAATATAGCCATGTTCACATGGGGCTGCTTCTGGGCTAATGTCCATGGAACAATAAATCCACAACCTGAATAACAGGAAAGGCTGAACAAGGATATTAAACTTTGCAAAGTAAGTTAGTGATTAACCAAGTGGAGCTAGGGATAAATAAGCCTCCAAAGAACCATTTTTAAAAACATATCCCCCAGGGGGGTGCTTTTTTTTTTTTTTTTTTTTTGAAATATTGCGTTTTGCACAAGAAGCAGACAATTGATTTGGTCAAATCCCATATTTCCATGCGAGGGAGAACAGCTTTGCAATCCCTTATTCATGACTAAAATAGCTGAAAGAAATGGTGCTACAGTAATTACCGAAACACGAAGTCTGCGCTGTCAATCTCCCGGCCACATCTGCTGTTCTTCAGAATTCCTCCATTCCCAACCACCGCACACTTCTTGAACTGGGAGCGGTGGTACGGCATATCCTGCAAGGAAACAGTCAGTATCCTGAAACACAGAGGCAACAAGTAGTTGTTTGCCCCCTCCCTTTTATTTTTTTGTGTGTGTATGTGTGCAACCGCATCTTGGAGAAAAAGCCTGCATTTGTGATAGGAAATATTATTAGGCAAGAAGAAATACATTGCAATATAGGAAGCTGACACTGGTTCTGGCTTGCACATTGGTGTACATGAACTGATGGGCTCATTGTCTTTGCAGTTAGAGATGGGCTATGGGCAACTTATTCAAAAGGAAAAAGCAATGACCCATTTCTGTCCAGATTTATTAATAGAAGAAGCAGTTTTAGAGGCTTGTTTTCCCTTCAGACTTCCACACGGGGGCATAAGCCATAATATTAGTGTACCCCAAGTGCAGCTTTCTGAGCTGCCCACAAGCTGCTCACTTCTCAGGCTCATGTCCTGCTTCTGAGAAACCTGCACACAGTCCCCGAGCAGCTTGCAGAACCCAAGAGGTCTCTCTAGGCCAGACAGAGTATTACAGATACCTATCAGAACTTAGTGCAAATTCTAGTGCTTGCTACACATTCCTCACAGATTGTGCTCATGCCATTAATGATTATTAATTATCACTTCTGCTAACAGCAGTGCCTAGAGCCTTTGGTCAGGGACCTTTTCAGGCTCAGAGAGGGTGAATCCTTCTGTAAACTGTAGGGCAAAATTCTGCCCTCCAACCCACATGTGCAGCTGCTGATCAAGCCAGAGAGAGCTATAAGCACATCCCTGAGAACGAACTGGGCCATTAGAATGAGAGGGCTTTGACATAAAACTGAGCCGAGCTACATATTATGAATATGTAGAGATGCGCTTATATAAGCATGAGAGCACTGCCTTTGGTAGATACATATTTTATGAATAATTTCATACTGCAGGGAGATGCAATCGTGGCATGACATTTCTAGGTGATTTTTCCCAGAATCCTTCCATAGCACTGACAAGACTTCAGGCAAGAGGGCCTGAAATCACGGCTGTCTGAGAAAAGCAGCAGCTCTCTGGTAGAGAGGCTTCTAAACTTGACTGTGCTTTATCCAGCGGTCCCCAACTGCAAAATTCTTTGGTACAAATGGACTTAGATGTAGTCGTGCTTTGCATGTCTCCAGACACCAAGGTACTTTTCTGGATCCGAGCCTTTCCCTCGCTCTGCTCCAGTTGCCCACGTGCACATTTAGATAAGAGCACTGCCCTGCCTCTCAGTTGTGCTCACAAGACAACCACATTAAAATCTGGGAGACTATGAAGGGCAATGTGAGCAACAGAAATCTTTGTAACTAACTTGGATATTTTCCTGACTTTCAGAAAGGAATGATTTTCAGTTATCCCCCCAAATATGCCATTTTAAATTTAGAAAGTGTGCCTCATGATAAATCAGTAGCCATATAAGCCTATTTCTGCACATAAATCACAGTGTGTAATAGGAATTGCCCAATGCCTGTAATATTAATACTTTCAGTGGCCATCAGGTCAAGGATTATTTCTAAAAATGTAACTTTTAGGATAAATACATTTACATTTCTGCAGCCTGTTCATGGAGAAGCCGCAAACAGAAGCAAGGATAAAAATAGTCAGTGATTGTGAATATGTATTATAAAATGGTCACGCCAAAAAAGGCAAACCTACCCTAAATGTTGAACTTAACGTATGTAGGTGAGACCTGTACAAGTCAGTAAGTGCTGCCCAGTAAATGGTATTTTATCCATATTTCCTAAATTATTTCATTAGTCACTTTGTTGTTTGGTCAATAATACTCTCCAGAAAAACACATGCTAGTTTGTATTAGAGCAGACGACTGTTAGAAAGTAGGATAATGAACTGGAATATCATATGAGAAATAAACATATTCACAGTATAAGCAATGATGCTTGCAGAGAAATGTGAAAGAGTGAATTGCTAAATGCTTGGCTATGGGACTTCATCTAATGCAGCAAGTAGAATAAAACTGATTCTGCAAATAGATACAGGCATGAAGCACCTTTGGAAACATTTTGAAGATTTCTTGGTTGATATGGAAGATTCCACTAGTATCCACTTCATACTTCAGTTTAGTCCCCAAGGGAGTATTTTTCTGAGTAGTGAACAGAAAGGCAGGGGCATTGCAACATCTTGACAAAGTAGACCTGTAAAATGAAGAAGAGATTAATTAAAGGAGCTGATAACATGCTTTAAGAGTTGCAATTAGAATGGAAAATATCTCTGAAACGCAGCTGACATGGCATTCATTGTCAAAACTTCTTTTTAACTGTACAAGAGATAAAATGATAAGCTAGAAGAGATGAGACCTCTGTACTGGCACTGCTTTAGGCTGCAGGAAATGCATGTGGAAATTCTGCTCTGCTCCAGCCCACAAAACTGAGCTTCTTCCATACCCCAGGGAAAAAAAACATGCTAATGAATTAGGCCCTCTCTGCCTTAGAGGTTTTGTACCTTCTATAAATCACTCCCTGGGCACTGGGCAGGAAACTTGGAGATCTAGAAGCCAGGTAGGGCAGGGACCTAAACACAGCAATACCTAAAGACACTACCCACCTACCACAGTGGAACGTGGTACACCTTGATTAGAAAAGACTTCTAAAGGCCTTGGTTTTGCCCTTGAGCTTGCATATCCCCTTGAGGGGGATGATACAGCACAGACAGGTTGGTGTCAAAGAGACTGGACAGGATTACAACTGCAGAATCTCAGATAAATAGACTAGATTTTCATTTTCACTATGACAAAATGACTGGTATTTCAATGGAACACCAAAAAAAATGAAATCTTAAAAATGGGAATTCAAGGGGTGAGAGAAAATCCATGCAGCTCTGACCTCTTTTCCATAAGATTCTTGTGAAACTTAAATAGGAAGAGCAGCTTGTCAAATAGGGGTCCATTTCTTAGCTCCCATTTTTCCATGAATGCCTTTCTACTATTAATGCTGTAACTGAAAGCCATCCCACTCTTACTCCACTGCCAGTTTGTTTCTCAGCCAATGCATCTTAGAACTTTAATGAAAAATAAATGTGGTGTGAACTTGAAAGACAAAGCCAAATGGCTCTTACATATTCTGGATTAAATACCATACCTCCAGAGTAAGTATCCCCTTTAAGAGCAGGAAAAATAAACCAGTGCAATTTTATTACAAGTATCAGAAAGGAAACACAGGATTACACAAACATTTCTGTCATGCCCAACTACTATTATATACTTGACTCATGGAGAATGACACAGTATGAGGATCAGATCAAGGCAACAACTGATACTGTGTGAATTGATGAATAATTCTGAATAAACAAGTAAATAAATAACTACAAGCAAGTAATGGAACTGCATTGTCAAGTTTGAGATATTAAAAAAACTCTTCTTCATTAGTTCTTCATTAGTTTTTTGATCTAATGTCCAACTAATTTTCCAGAGGCACATTCCTTAATGTGTGTGTCGGATCTCTCATGGAAGATTGTCCAGGAAATTGTTCTTCTTTCTCTAAAGTTACAAAAGCTAGTGTGATTTTCCTGCTTCATTCCCATCTGCTGCTCTTCATGGCTGCCTTTCAACCTCCCTGGTTTCCCTCCATCTCACATGAGGCCCAGCACTTAACTTTAAGGCATCTACTAGTCTAACTCCAAATTTGAGACTTCTATCTGCTTTTATGGGACTACAGTTTCCTCACACATTCACTCACTGATGTTTCTGTCCCGTAAGACAAAAACAAAACAGACTCCAAACTTCCCTGTTTTCTTGATTCCTGTGATTACTTTTCATAGAACAGCTAATGAAGAATTGATTATATATATCTAGATGCTGGTCAGCATCTTAAGCAGTAAGAGATCAATCAATTTAGCCAGTGACAGGAGTATTTCATCTCTTCTTTCTCACAGTACCCCGAGCAGGATGGAGTGGGGCACTTTGATTAAAGTGCTGGCGTTGGTAGTCAGTGTTGGTGGCCTAAGAGAGAGCGGTAGTCCTCCAGGTGGTCCTAGATAGTAATTTCTTATCAATCCCACCTCCAGGCTGAGCTCTGTACTTCAGCATGCTCACTGCACCCTGTACACAGTCATTAAAACCAGTGCTCTCACTCCTAGCAGTCTTTAAGCCTTGACCAGGATAGTAAACTCTAATTCTGGTCAGCTCCTCCCTTGCCAAATGGACTCTGATTGTTGCCCATCAGATATTTTTTCAGAAAAAAAAACACATCAAAGAAATCCCACAACTGGAGTTCATGTTGGAAAACCTGGTATGACACTTCCACCTGGGGCTACCAGTTACTTCTGATAATGCTAAGGGCTAAATCAGTATTTCCACAGGATATCCATTCTCCCATTCTCTCAACTCATAATAGCTAGTACCTGGAATCATGAAAGAGAATAAGGGAGAAAGTGGTAGGGCCTTATTCTAAACAGCAGCTCTGAATCATGTCAATGACTTGTAGACTTGCCAGTCTATATTCCACTTACTCTGAAATAATCTGCTTTCACTGTACGTACTCAAATAATCCTGTACATGCTGAATAAGACCTTCAGCAAAGAGGACATCATACAAAAATAAAAGTATTACTGAAACAAACTGAAAAGATGTCCGAAGACTAGAAGAAACATTTAAAGATAGTCAAGGAGTACATAGTGTCAGTACGCTATGCAAAAAATTATATACAATTATACACGGTACACAAAAATCCAGTTTGAAAATTTCGTAGACCAAATTTTCAGTGTTACCAGTGATATCACCATTTTACACCACCAGACTTAGGCCCATGGGTAAATGCATGAGGTGTAAAGATTAGCTTTTGGCTCCTGCCTCACTTCTGCATGAATCATACTCAGGAAGGCCTTTCCAATGACAAATTCGTTGCCTTTGCTGGGACAACTGTCCCACATGCCCCCAAAACTCTCTTTCACGCTTGCTGTTGACTTTTTCAAAAGTAAGAAAAGTTGATATTTATTCAAATGGACAGTTCTGTTTCAGTTGCAGTGTTATATTGCCTGCTCTGGCAATTCATGTGAAGGTTTCCCCTCTCTACAACAAGCTAAAGTCAGACTAAAGTAATTCTTATTCTCATTAATGTGAACCATTCTTACTTGAATAAGTTAGCCTCTGTGACATTCATCTCCCATTTGCACATCTGTAGGCTCTTCCACCTGTCAAACAGTTCAGTTTGCTTCACCCTAAAAGAAAAAAAGAAAGAAAATCAAAATTCACTCTATTACAAGGCATTCAATTCCTTCAATCTCTGCAGTCTGGGGACCAACTATTGTTTTTTTGGGGAAGAAGTCTGCCAACTATTGTTTTTTGGGGGAAAACTCGTGCTCTAGCAAGAAGACCCAGCAAGGGAGATACTGGTAGACAAGATGCTTTATGTGGTTGCCAGCTATTGTTATTGGAGGCTTTCCTTGTATTTTGAGGAGTATATAAATCCATCCTATAAAACAGGTGTTGGGAAATCCATTTTACAACTGGGATAGTACATGTAGTGGCAGGTGTGTGTGAGCGTGAGAGGACAGAGAAACCTCTTTATATAAGGATTTTTTCCTCCTCCTCTCTTCAATAAATGTCTTCAGATGTATCAGTGTCACATCTACTTTTTCTAGTTTGATTCATGGTGATACATTACAACCTATTAGTTTTTTATTTCATTTTCTTCCTCACAGTCTTTTCTGATGTATTACAATTAAAGATTTGCGTTCGGTTGATTAAGTTGCCTTGTAGGCCACGGATTTAACATTACAGCCAAGTGCAGGCTTCAGTTCTGGGTGAGGGCCTGAGGAAAGCCATCAAGTGGAGGAACTTCCAGAAAACACGCTTAAGGCAATGAAAAGTTCTTTAATAGTTAGTAATTTCATGGAAATATGACCCAGAAAAAATATGTCTGTAGATCTGGCAAGTAAAGGTCAGTGTCTTAAATCTCCCGGACAAAAGAAGTGGATAAAGCTGAAGAAACTGATTACTACTTTAGAGTTCACACATACTCTTCCACATTTGGACAACAGAAATAACTAAGGCCTTGCAAACATCTAGAGCTACAGAGCAATGCCACGTACTGCATCTGAGATTTCTTAAAAGACTGACAGATCTTAATGTGTTCTTTTCAGGTCTGGGTGCTTTGAATGTCTAAACAAAGCAAAGATTTTCAGGATAATTATATATTTTAGATGAATAGACTTTAGGATTTCCCAGTCTGTGAAAGTCACAGAAAGGAATTAGGTCATATTGTACTTTCCGTGGCTCACGGGAGCATGTTATCTTAGAAAACTTCCATTACCGTAAGGGCTGACTTAGAAAATGTAGATATTTTGCAAGCATGTTAGAAGAATCCAGCATAGTAAAAAGAGCTCCCTGTGAAATGGTGTCAACTGTACAAGCAAGGCTGACTCTATCCAAATGAGTGGGAGTCCACAAACATCTATGTGCCATTGGATAAGATGAAGAGAGATGAATAATCCTCTCTACCATCTGATAAGTATACAGAAATGCAATACAAAACTCACTATCTTCAGCAGAACATTGGCAGAAGTGTCAAATTCTCACCCCTTCTATTTATTTTTAAGCAATGCAAGTCAGCAAGCAGTGAGAAGTCGTTACTTGTGTATCCTTCATCCAGTACCATAAACAGAAGACAAGGACATAACCTACATTTTTCTGTGCACAAAGTGAGTGAGGGAGATATGCTCAGAATTCGTGTAGACCTGGAGCAACAAATTCCATTTGCCTTGATTGCTCTTTTCATTAAGACTGATGCGCTTGTATAGCACCTTTCAGCTGAGATTCTCAAAGCACTTTACAGGCATTAGTAAGTCTTGTGGATTGTAGGCAAGAATACTAAATATGAAAACTACGGGTTTTAGACACAGTGACAGATTAAGCATACTCTGAGAATCTAGCTCAGAAAAATATAAAAGGATAACATGAAAATATCCTGCTTTTTCTGTCTAAGCCCTGGAATGCCTGAACTCTATGGGCAACCTTATTTATCTGTTTCATTCCATCTCTATGGTTTCACAGTTATGTCTCAGGCAAAGTTTTTTTCTTTTTTTCTTTTTTCCTTAATGTGCTTATAAGACCAAAGAAAATAAAATAAGGATATTGTATTATTTGTCAGAATCACAGTTTCTTCCTTTTGCATTGAATGTGTTGTTAACTTCTGCAGCTTATTGTCACAGGAGACTGTGGACATCAAAAGTGTAATTGGACTCAGAAAAGACCTAAACAAAGTAATAGAAAATAGGTACATTTGTGAGTCTGACTGTAATGGTATAGACTCCACCTATAGCTCAGGGAGTCCCCATGCCAGTGTCTACAAGGATTCTACTTCATTTTGCTTCCTTTCTTAGCCTTCACTATTGGCCACTGTCAATGACAGAGTATTAGGCTAGATGGGCATTTACTGTAAGCTGTCTAGCTGTTTTTACCATTGTATTACCCTCACTAGAGGGCCTATTACAGCCAATATTACAAACATGGTATTTAATTTCATGGCTGAGGGAGCTGGGCCTGTTCAGCCTGGAGAAGAGAAGCTGAGAGGGGACCTGAGCAGTGTCTGGAAGTACCTCAAGGGAGGCAGTGAGGAGGATGGTGCTGGCCTCTTTTCACTGGTGGCCACCAAAGAACTAGAGGTAATGGCCACAAACTGAAGCACCAAAAGTTCCACATGAACTTAAGGAAAAATTTCTTCACAGTGAGGGGGGAACAGGCTGCCCAGAGAGGTTGTGGAGTCTCCTTCTCTGGAGATCTTCAAAACTCGCTTGGACGCAGTCCTGTGCCACGTGCTCTAAGTGACCCTGTGTGTGCAGGGGGGTTGGATTAGATGACCTCTAGAGGTCCCTTCCAACCTTAAGCATTCTGTGAATCTATGAATTCCAGGTAGTGATACTGGACCTGATGGAAATTCCTCAATTTGTGCGAAAAGCCTCCAACAATTTCCAATGGACCTCAGATCATACTGAAATGTCACTACTTGCACATATAACAGAACCTCAGAAATCTTTGATGAGATGAAATCCCTTTCCATGGGATTTAGCCTTGCACCTTGTAAGTGATCATTTTATCCTACCAGAAGGTTGCAAACATTCGTTCATACTTACATAGACAAAACCTTCACTGCAATGATACCCTGCCGTAATTCCAGGCATTTTGTGGAGTTGTATTCCAATGGTCCTTCATAAAACTCAAAATACCTGAAGGAGAAATAAGAACAAAGGTTATAAGTAAGTCCTAGACTTGCAAACATATCTTACACATCAAGGGAAATGTACTTAAAGTTGTCACCTGTGATCTGCCTAACCTAACACTACACTGGCTGACCTAAAGGCAGGGTAGTATGTCAAGAAAAGCACAGAGATCACTGATGATGACAGAACAACTGCCCCTGTCCACCCTGTCCATCCCCTTAGAAATTCAAATGTGAACTATAAGATGTTCAAAGGAGAGAATCAGTGGTTTTCATGTAGTTAATCTGAACTAAGTTATTAGAATGCATTTGAATCAGTTGCCACTTATTTAGGTTGTATGTGGCTATGTTTCCAGATTTCATGTCCCTTGCAGGCACCAGCAAGACGTAGCTAGGTTTCCCAGCAGTCAGCACATGGCAGCTGCAACAGAAAGCAGGAAAAGATAGTAATCGTTTAGGGAATATCATCCCCATCTTCTGGGTATCTCAGTGTACGTATGTGGAGGGTTTAATAAAATTTTCCTTAGATTCTGTTCTTAAGATAAAAGCAAAATGCTGGAGGTTGCGTCCTGTCTGTGCAACCTGTTGCACACTTACACACAACTGAACTTTCTCTGGGCTTGTACATTTTGAGAGGAAGAGGAACAGGAGTTCCTTGTTAAAAAATCAGAATGCTTTTGAGAAAGAAAGGATTTGATGCTCATGTATTTTGCAAATGGCAATGCAACTCTTAATTAAAACAGATGCCTACTTTTCTGGTTAAACTGTTAAAACAGGCTGCCCAGAGAGGCTGTGGAGGCTCCTTCTCTGGAGATCTTCAAACCTGCCTGGATGCCACCCTGTGCCCCTGCTCTGGGTGTCCCTGCTGGAGCAGGGGTTGGACTGGATGGTCTATAGAGGTCCCTTCCAACCTCAACCATTCTGGGATTCTGGGATTCTGTGATCCAGCAATGCATTAAGCCTCCTTAGCATTAATTGTACTGATGGTGCAAGCATCAATGATGCAACAATAGCACTAATCCATGAGACAGCATCTAATTAACAGATAGAAAGGAAAATCCATTCTACCACTCTTTTTCCCTGAAGTATTTCTACTATGTATTTGCTTCTCGACATTTCCCCCGTCTCAGATACTGAGGCGGATTAGCAGAAGCAGCTCCCTGGAGCACTGGCCGTCCTCTCCCTTCAGAAGAGCTTCTCGTTGTATTTCGCCAGGATGCAGGTTTCGCTCAGCACGAGGCTCTGACGCAAGGAACACGGGCCTCCCTCCGCCACTGCAGATGTCCTTTAAATCCAGCTCCTCCGCTCAGCAGGGCCCAGATCCCCGTCCTGCCGGGAGCGCTTGGAAACCAGCCCACCGCGCTCTCTCAGAAGCTCAGTCTCACCCACTCCCTGCGTTTTGAATGCCGGTTCTGCCTTTTAACTCCCACTCAAAATCATGTATTTCCTGGTGAATGAAGATACATTAGCCTGTCAGAAAGCCTAATTAGCACAAATGGAAGCTGTCCTCCCCATAGTCTTCCTCAGTCTGTTTGACACCCAGCTAGGAAGTAAGGGCGTAGTGTAGTTTATTTTGATTTATGTTATTGATCGGTGACCACTGACCCTTCCTACTATGCTACTCGTTTTGCTATGGAGAAGGTCTGTATCATCTGAGCTTTACAAGAATGACAGCCATGTTTTATATCCATACTATAGGAGTCTACATGGTAGCTTCCAAATTTCCTGCCCCAGCACTGCCTTCCCTTCTTCTGGTGCAATGTAAATAACTTTTATTCCTCAAGAACTTAAGTCTACAGGAAAACCTATCAGCATAGAAATCCATGATTCCTTAAAATAGGGAACAAAACTACAAGTGAGTTAGGACACACTGAACATTTACACACGATGAGGGGTTGTAGTTTCCAACAGAACTTGACATTACACACAACTTGCAGCTCCAAGGCCATTCAGGTTGGTTCTCATGCCCTAATTTAGAGCATTCTTCCATGATCAACTTAACATCACATAAGATACACGCACTGGGAAGAGGTTCTTTTTTTATGGCCCTCAGTACTAAATGCCCAGAAACGAAATCCTATTCACTTTGTAATTTTCCATTCTGAGACTTTCTTCTTTTCTAACCATCATGCCTCTCACTGCAATCTCACTTATACCTGGGCATTTTACTGAGTTCACCAGTGAAAGGCAGCGTTGGTTTCCTAGTCCACTACCTACTATAACACCCAGGTCTTTGATCACCTGCAGTCAAGTTTGTCCTGCTTTGATGAAAAGTGATGTTTTCTTTATCATGCTGCATGAATCAAAAGGTTTGGGACCTAAATCCTGCCTTCAAGGACCACTTGGATTGGGACACTGATATTTTGCAAAAAGTACTAAAATATAATTGAGGATAATTGTCAAGCATCCTTTAAAAGAGATTGTTTTCACCTGCACAAGCTGCCTTCCTGTTTTGCTAGTTCCTCCAGGGACAATTCTGCACTGCTCATGGGGAGGCTGCAGCATGTAGGCTTCAAGAGAACTAAGTAGTGCAGGAAGGATTCTACTTCCCCTGCAGGAAAAACAAAGATCTTTCCAAAAATACACATTATCCAGTGACTAAAGATGAGACGAAATGCACCAAGCCCTGCAGGTTTGTGCTAGTATACTAGGAGAACATTCCAATTAGCAGATCCTGCATACATCAGCAAAGGCAGATCCATGGTCAGCCCCAAGCCTAGGTTCACTTTCCAAGTCTAGTAACTTTACAAGCGTACAGTTTTCAAAGGATGTGGGGATTCACACTGACCCAGTAGAGTCAACATACGATATTCATGTAACCACATAGCAAGAAGGTGGGTGAGGAGGAGTACATTGTGGTGCCACCCAGGATGCCACCCTGTGCCCCGTGCTCTGGAAGTCCCTGCTGGAGCAGGGGGGTTGGACTGGATGATCTCTGGAGGTCCCTTCCAACCTCAACCATTCTGGGATTCTGTTGCCCAGACTGCAGGATTACTACTGAGAAGTTAATGACCTTTCATATCATTCCTTGCCAAAAAATCCCACCTGTGGATATAACTGTTGTTAAATGACATCCCTACTTGCAGACTGGCAGATGAGGCAGAAATGTCTCCTGGATTAATTTACACTTCTCTAGGACTGTGATAGGAAAAAAAAAAAAAAAAAAAGGGAAGGAAAAAGAAATCACATTGCTGCATGTGCTGTTTCTGCAGCTTGAGAGCCTGTGTTGACTTGTCTATAGCTGGTTGGTGCCTGAAAGCCTGAAGAGAGAGACTAGCTGTGGTGGGCATGGAGCGGGAGGCAGAAGAAGCTATAGGCTTCTTCCATAGGCGTTAATGAAACCTTTCGACCAGTTCCTCCTACAAGGCAACAAATCTAGAAAGGGATGGATCCTATCCCTCCTGGCTCCTGCACTGCTGAAGCCAATAGCATTGGCATTAACAGTTTTTTCACCAAGAATATCTCAAATGCTACAAGGTCTCCACAATAAATTTAGATTTAAAATTTGGCATTTAGGAAACACTAATGATTGTTTTACAGGTATGCATATAGCAGTGAATTCTTAACAAAGATAAGTGGTACCATTAATAATTAAGAACAATTTTAACAGTGGGAGGTGAATAAATGAGTTTGGAAACAGGCAGAATTTGCAGAAATTAGAGGTAAACGTACAGGTCCAGCTGATCACGATCTTTCAGTATATGGCTAGGAATGGAATGTGGCACTAAAGGAATGAAGCGATCAAGCAGGAGAAAATGGTGAAACATTTTTTTTCATTCTATTACATGGTTAGAGCACTTCTGGATTACTACATCCAGTTCTGGTCTTCCAACTTGGAAAACAGTGTAGAGAAACAGGAAAAGACCTATAAGAATGACATGGATGCCAAAAAGTATGAGAGGCTTATAAAGCTTAATCTATAAGTATGGTGACTGAGTATAGACATACTACACCAGAAAGCAATTCCTAGTGGCAGGAAGCTTTTCCATAAAACAGATCAAGAAAAAACAGTATCCAGTGCCTGAAAGCTGAAGATAAAATTAGTGTCTTTGGTTCTAGCCTGTATTTCTTTCCAGAAGAACCAGAGAAATCAAACAGAAGACAGGAGCTTGAACCTGGGCTCACAGTTCCCAAGAGATTTGCCTAGATGCAGTTAAAAATTATTAATTCATGAATCTCCTGATCTTCTGTGTAGGATATTCTGAAATGTTTGTTAGATTTGTTTCTTCACATTATCAAGAATTTTTGCTGGGTTTTGCTGGTAAGAGATGGCATCAGATATACATCTGGACACCCAAGAAAAGTAGTTTCCCAAGATTCCCTGCAGATTTCAAAATTAAAGATTTTTATGTATAACAACAAAAAATGCTTCCACAGAGTAGACTTAAATCCACATTTGATCACTCATAGACTTTTATATTTCTGTTTTTTAAAAGCGGTTCATTGATGGCTCTACATCCCTCCCAAATAACTTTTAAAATAATTATGAATCCATCAGTTAAATCTCAGAGATGTCCCTATTCTTACATTCTTGTTTTGATCTAGCTGCATGACTTCACAGACAATTTACGCATCCATACAGATAGGATGATAGCTGTGATGCCCTGAGGATCTTTATTCACCAGGACTATGAAAGCTCCTGGCAAACTGGCACTTGCTGCTCGCTGCCATTCTGATTTTGATGTCCTGTCTTCACATCTCAATACGTGGATCATTTGGGAGCGTTTGGCTCAGCCGCCCACAATCATCAGCAGTGAGAACTGACCAAACATACACTCCTGCCAATGCAGATTTGTCTTCTTCTCTTCTATCTGCTTGTTTGGGACCAAGGCCGCTTCAAAATTTCAGTCCAATACGCTCTCCAAGACACCTCTGCTCCAGCAGCTGTGGGTGTAACAGCAGGAACTAAAGCAGAAACAGCTCTGGTGACAGCAAAGATGAGGCAACCTCGTGCACTTCATTCCCGTGCTGGGACAGGCCCATCTTGCAGATCATCCTCCTGGAGCAAACAGATGTAACCCCATAGCGCCCGTGCTTCTGGGTCACCTCACATGCTGCAGGGAGTCCTATTTTACTAATGTCATTTCAGGACTCCCCTATTTTGAATATACTGCTTTTTGGCTGTTGTAATTAACTCCATTCCCATCGCTCTGATTGCTAGAAGCCTCTGATCCTGTTATCCGTATTATCACCTGGGAGGCATGGCATAACACATGACATATATACGACACTTACATAACACTGACATCTGAACAACACATTTTATTTTTCTAATGCCAGCAATGGCTTTTTTTTATGGTTTTCAAGATTTTAGCAGCTTTGTATTATGGGTTCAGCACTGCAAATTAAGGAACATCCTGAGCTACCGTTCCGGCCTATAAGGTTTGAAGGCTTAATTCTTTAGGCACATTCTTGAAAAAAAAAATCTACAACATGAATCCAATGGACTAGATAGTCTATTTTGTTGCCACTGGGGACATAGCTCCAGTTTTGTCATATTGAAAACTGAATGTATAAATTAACAGGCCCCAAAGCATAATGTTCACTTCTTCGCTCACCCATCTAAGGCTCTTGCAGTCTCACAAGACCTTCACCTCAGAAGAACTGAAGAGGTTGAGAACATGATAACCCAACCATTTCAACAGCTTCTTGTCATATAATCCCAGTAAATTGCAAAACATATTAGAAAGGCAACAGAGAAGAAGAAAATGAGGATCTACGAAACAGTCTGATATTTTTTTCTTCAGGTAACCAGCACCACATTGAACTTTTTAACTTAATCACTTGCAAGGATGTTCTAAGATTTCTAAGGTTTTGTGCAAGCTACAGAGGAAATGGTTGAAAGCTGAGCAATAGCCATGGAAAGCAATGGCTGACATATAACCAGCAACAAATAAACCCATATTAAATGAAGAATAGCTGGGTGAAACTGCATCCAAGCAAGATTACCCTAATGCATTGGATGAAGCTCCCTGGCCAGCTTGGTTTCTCTGGCACAGAGGAGTTGTCTGCTCTCAGAGCAAGACTCATTTTCTGTACTCCAATCACAAGCCATGATTCAACTTTGTACATTAGTTAAGGTCTGAATAAGTTCCTACTGAAATCAGTGAGAAACTCTTTGTTGACTTTAACAGATACTGAGTCAGGTATAGGTGTTAATGTAGCCATCTCTTGACGCTTGGGCTGCAGAAGACTTCTGTATTACCACTCAGGTAACATGAAGTTCTTCACTTAGTGAGCTATTTGATCCTCTGTGTGCAAAATTTAATCATCTTCCCTATTCATTGGTTTTGATACGGCCACTGATCTTGTGGAGCCTGACTTTCTTACAATTTCTAAAGCATTTCTTCACGCACTAAGCCTTTTCCTTAGAAGTACTACATTTTCATCTAATAAATCGCTTTGATCTTACAGAATGAGATGTCAGGGTCTCTACAGCAAATATTAAGTAATATAGTTAAAAGATAAACAGCTGTTATAGAGTACACATAAGCCAACAGTGCAAATGTATGACTGTGTTCCTGTATACCCATAAAAATATAAATGATATAAATTAATGAAATGGTCATCAATTCAGTGCTGAATTATAATCTAAAAAGAGTCACAATATCTATTTCAATTCATATCTTTAAACAACAAACCTTTTGCAAGGAGGTAATAACCCATGATAAACTGCAGAGCCAGGCACTGAAAGGTATTGACTGTACATGTGCTAACACAGAGTAAGTTTTATGCCCTTTAGATCTGTCATTGGAGACTTGTAAATATATACAGACAAATTAGGGCAGGTCCTTTTCAGTCTCTGAATATCTTTCACTTCCACAGTTATTAACATCCTGCTAACTTTGAATTTTGCATCTTTACATTACCACATTCGAAATTTAGACCTGAATTGTGAAGCAAGAGTCCATTTGCATAAAAGGCACCTACACCCTGAACCTCTTACTCTTTGAAGAGGTTAAATAGACTGAGAATAGTATTGTAGCTCAGTGCTTCATAGCTTATATGTACCTTGCAATCAAGGGATTTGTCTTCGCCCCGCACTGAGTGACAGTTCAATTGCCTCTCTGAAGGGTGCCTAGAGGGAGGAATCTATATTTATTAATTCTCTCATCTCAGCAAGACAATCTCTCTTTATTTTGTCACATTCAGTTTTCTGATACCCCAAGTGCTCGAACTGAAGACTTTGAATATACAAACTATAGATGCAATGAGGCAACAGAAGTAGGGACAGGCAGACAGACAGATTTGTTTTTCCCTTGCTCTGGGCTAAAACAGCAGCTAAGTTGGTTCCTTCCATAAAACTTCCTTGGCTGGTTAAACCGGTGGCACAGCAGCCAGCAGCAATGCAGGATCGTGTTGCAGCATGGAGCTGTACCAGGAATTGCTGCACGGATTCAGGAGGTCCGGGAGCCTGGTCGGATTCTGCACTTCCACTTGTCTTTGGAACGCTATGAGCAGCGCAGCTGTGGGGCACACGGTCCCAAAATACACTGTGATGGGATCACTGACATCATCCACAGAGACCTATCCTTATCTAAGCAACATCTATTTCTTTTTTTTTCATTTTTTCCTTGACTTACCAATTTCTGGGATTTTCCTGGTATTTACTGAACCTAGTCAGGTTCACATGATTCAGGATCTTTAAATTCAAGTCAATAGAGACTGTGAGTACTAGTACTACATGTGGAAAGTCACTTTTTAAACCATGCACAGAGAGATTTCCCCTTATATTGCTTTGCACTAAGGTTTCTCTGCTCTTCAAGACAAACGTGTTGGAGTGCTTCCTATGCCAAAGCTGCTAATTAAACAGTTTGTCCCTCAAGGGAGTTTTATAAAACTGAAATTCCAGGATGACGTGGAATTATGAGCCCCCCAGATTTGTGCCAATGGCCTGTGACATCCATGGAGCATTTCAGCAGCTTTCCCAGGTGACCATAGGCACAGCCAGGTTCCTACCACACATGGAGTTTCCTTAGACCTCAGATACTTAAAGTCAGAAAAGTCTTTCTACAAATTACCAAGTACAAAATATGCAACAGCAAATCCGTGCTTCTTCTAACAGTGTCAGAGTAGGATAAATAAAGGAAGTTCTCTGATCTTGTCTTGCTAAAATGTTTTTCTCAAACTAGGCTCTGGAAAGATTTCAAATGGAACTATATCTTTCTTACAATATATGTTCTCCCATAAAGAAAGCCTAGGGCCGGATTTCGGGTAGTTATTCCCTCAGGGGTTGGTACCTGGTGCCTGTGCCACTGCCACTCTTCACTGCTCCGTCATCGGTGAAATTAATGGTGCCGGTCCAATTTGCCAATTCCTCTCCATTCTGCCAGCTAAAGTGCAGCCCTCTAGCAAGAAAACGAGACAGTTGATATTTGATATCATTCATTAGGTTAACTCTTTCAGCATGAGATCTTATGTCCTCTTTTTTAACACTGCGGATATGACACATTCACTGAAAACAACAAATAAATATCAAGAATTACAGGTTGTATTCCCACAAATGATTAATTTTCATTCCTTGGAACCAAATTCTATGAGTCCTTGGCTGCAAAACATCATCAGCCTCCCCATCCAAATTAGAAGACCAGTAATCATATGAGGTCAGCAGCAACACATATATACCTGGCAAAAGGTGGAATTTTAATTCCCAGAGACACAAGCACAAAAAGGTCAATGCACTACAAAAAACTGCAGTGGATCCATAGGGCCAAAGAGGGAGAGCCCCAAACTAATTCTTCTCCTTCTTTGGGAAGATGAGTTTTTTTAAGCAAATGCATACCACAATCACCACTACTCCCTGATTTCCAAACATTCAAAAATCCACAGAAAGCTCTGTGAGGCCTGCAATCTTCTGGAAACAACCAACTGCAGTTGGGTAGGAATCTCACATATATTTTAAAAAGCAGGGTCTGAAGCATTAGATAGCAAGAGCCAAATCCTTCCTTTGGCTCAGAAGTCAAGGAAAATGAATTTTACAGATTGTTATTTTTAATCTTCTCCGTTTTAACCCAATTTCATGATTTTAGAAGCCTGGCAGCGGAGCTGTGAACATTTGGTGCTGCGAATGCTGCAAGTTGCTGCCCCGGCTGGGCCGCACGGGGACAGCTAGGAAATGATCTGCCAGCAACCGCTCTGCCCGCAGCGAAGGGCATCCTGCTCCCGGCGACGTTTCTTGTTCAGAAAGTTGATTACAGGGACTGGAGCATCTTCGAGACCATCTCCTACCTCGAGCCGAATTGGCAGCAGGATCTGCACAGGAAATTAAGCGGGAAAGACCTGCAGCATTAAAATGGGGCATCTTTGCTTCCCGCAGCAAAAAAACAGAAAGAGGAAAAGCTCTGAACGGCTCTAAAAACATATGGCAGGAGCTTATTTGTACTGCATTGTGGAAGAATGCAGGCCACCACAAAGGCCATTTTCCCTCTTGAAAACTATCTATTTTGAAAGAATTTTTGAGGACTGGTCTTCTGCATTTTGTGCTTTTTAATCTTTTTGTTTGGCTGCTTTCTATTGAAAACAGACTTTTGGGGAAAAGAATTTTGTGGTGTGAAGGAATTCTGAAAGCAGAAGGGAGTCTCTTCAGAACTGAAGGCCATAATGAACTAAACTCTGAAATGCTTCCCTTGCCTGCTAAGCTGCTACCCACCTCAAGAACTGCAAGAAAAGCACTATGAAATATATTAAAAGCATCCTCTGAACCTTTTAAATGCATTTTCATGCCTTGCATTTTCCTTAGCTTTAAAATTTTGCTTAAAAATAAATAAAGTATAAAAATGTGACTATTCCAAATGCTGGAGCCATTTTTTTATTCATAGGAGACTCATTCTGACTCCTTTTTAGTTAAATATATGAATGCAATTCCCTTGCTTTCCTAAAGATCAGGAGTAATACAGAACAAGTGGAAGGGCTATACTGATCACTATAAGCAAAACGAGATGACACTGCACAGTTAGAGCTTCCCTTCAGCTTGGAAAGAGCTATTTCAATGAGCAATTTAAGAGAGTCAGATCGAACACAAAATATTTAACAAGCAAAGACTTCTCTTCAGCCTCTCCTGAGATTTAAATTATCACCTGGAATGATCTCTCTCCTTCCACTGACTATAAGGATTGGCCAGAGAGTCCCTCATCTTCCACTTGTCTCTGACTAATTTATCAGGTGAGGTTGCTCGAGGTGACTACTTCTGAGCAGAACATCAGTGTTAAGAAATAAGAGAAAATCGTCACTTAAATGAAGACACCTTCACTTTTAGCCTTGTGAAATAAACACTCACGATTCTCTCCTGTGCACCACTTTTTACCTTTTTTTTTTTTTTTTTTTTTTTTGCTGCTCTTTATAACCCTCATGGAAAACTGTTTAATTTCAATATGTATGTCCTTGTGGAAAGGTACCTAAAGGTATGTCCTTAAAAATATGTTTTAGCTGGTAAGGGCAGCAGTGAATGATACATGAGAAGGGATAGTAGAACTGGGGGGAGGAAGTTTCGATTTTTTAATTGGATTTAAATTAGTAATTTGGGCTAATGACACTTGTTTGCAAACTGAAACGGGCAGGAATAATCCAGATGATAGACAGTCAATATTGGTGTGCCCTTCAGAGCTGAGCTGTCCTAAAACACAGCCAAGGTTCTGGCATGGAATGAATGAGGAATTAAAACACGCAGGAAGGTTCCTTCTCCTTGTACATCTCCACAGCTAACAGTTGGAGGTAAAGATAAGCAAAAGCTCAGAGGCAGAGAGCAGAATGTGTTCATAAAGCAAAAGAAATGATACAATCACCCTTGAATGCCCTCTCATCAGGACGTTTTTGGGAACACTGTGCACCGGGCTGAGGAAGCCAGTTTAAAGGAGGACATGAGCGTTTTGGGTAAGATCCAAGAGGAGATCAGGAAGACTAATGCTGAGGAATGGTAGATATGTCTTATGAGGAACAGCTTAAAATACTTAGCTCTGAAATGGCAGGATGGGGGATCTAATTAAGGCACAGAAATACCTAATGAGGGCAAGCAGGGGTCTGGCTATGTATCTTCTCCCCTTACCCACTCAGGACAAATGACAAAGTCACTGGCTGAGCTTGGGGTCAGCAGCAAGTGCCTGATGCTGTACGAGCAGAGAAGGGAGCCCATGTGGTGGTCCCCAGGAACTCAAGAGTTTAACATCACATGGACTTGGAGCACAAAACACATCACAGGAAAAACAGCTCATGGGATGGTCTCTCTGAGAGTCTGCAGCCCACACTGCTGCACTGAACCTCCTGCACTGAATCTGCTGCACCGATTCCTCCTGTTAGAACAACTCTCAGAAATAACAGTTTGTAGTATTAGGGATGAGTCATTTGAAAACATTGACCTGAATTAACTCTGTTCCTAACAAGATTACTGGGAAATAAAACAAATAAATAAAATTAAATGAAATAAAAATAAAATACAATAAAATAAAATAAAATAAAATAAAATAAAATAAAATAAAATGCTTGAGATCATTACCAGTGATTCCTTATATGCTTGTCTATAGACATCAGTAGACTTACCCCTAACAGATATGAGTCTAAACACCCATGTAGAATCATAGAATCACAGAATGCTGAAGGTTGGCAGGGACCTCTAGAGATCATCTAGTCCAACCCCCCTACATACGCAGGGACACCTAGAGCACGTGGCACAGGACTGTGTCCAAGCGGGTTTGAAGATCTCCAGAGAAGGAGACTCCACAACCTCTCTGGGCAGCCTGTTCCAGTGCTCTGATGTATTAGTAAACTCCCTAGGTTGGATGCCTTAGCAATAAAAACACGGAGTTTCAAGCAAATGTCAAAGCAGCAATTTTATCCTGATCAATAGCTCTAAATATTGAATGAGTGTGTGGCGAAATAAACACTGGCATAACGGGAGGGTAGAAAGAGAGGGTGGAAAAGAACCAGAACATTAACAAAACAGCCATAACGCCAGCGAGAAACAACTACTGCATGATGGGGGAGGTTGATAGCAGAGGATGTCAAACAGTTATGGGGTTTTTGAACTTCTGAACAGGCAAGGGTGAACAAGTGGAAAGACTGCAGCAAGAAGCGGTGCCACCTTGTCACAGAGATGCCACCTCCAGGGTGTCTCACAAAAACGTCTCATTTTCTGTCTGAAAACTCAGCTTGAACAAGAAGGCAAAGTTCTTACACGAGAACTATTCTACAGTTGGTACATGGAGAAGACCCAAAAGATTTTATGCACTTGCTGGCATCCTACCTGGGCTCTACCGGGCTCTACCAGGCCATGCAGTAGATTTTTTTCAGCGCAGATCTTCATGCTTTTGAGGCACAAGATCAGACTGGGGCAAGTGGCTGAATGACACAGCGACCAGCACCCACGTGTAACAAGGACTGAGTGGCCACTAGGCCATGACAGAGATGGCCTGAGATGGCAGGAAGAGCAGGCTCCTCTCCAAAGTCAGCCTGCTTCCCAAAGCTGCTAACTTACCTTGTTTTATCCCAGCCAACAAGCTATGCCCACTCGTGTTCCAAGGTGACAGTCACCATCAGCCCCATCCTGCATCTAGCAGAGATAGGCTGAATAAACCCAAAAGTAAGCAAAAATGGACACCTCCCCCCCAAAATGTCATTTTTTATCTTTATGCTGGATCAGGTAAGGAGGAGGCAGTGGGAAAAAGGATAAAAATGCGTCAAAGAACAAGACAAATGGCAACATTTTCTTCTGAAAGGAGGGAAATCCCTCTGAAACACCCTTTAATAATTCTTGTGGCCTCCAGAGGAAGAACTAAAGACTTGTGTGCTAATGTTCATGAAATTGAGAATCCCTAGACTATTAACAGTCCCTAGACTATAAGAGGGAGGTCGCACAGGCATAGGAAAGTCATATGGTTAATGTTGCTGAAGATCCAGTTATTTCTTTCTGCAAAAACAGACAACATGACTCATTGTGTCCACAGGGTGAATGGAAAATTAAACAATAGTGTGACCAAAATGACCTGCCATTGAAAACACTTACTAAGCAGGACCAGAGACAAGAAGAGATTGGATAAGAAAGGGGAAAATCAGGAATCTGCAATGTAACAGGCTGATGCACAAGTGGAGATAAAGACAGGAGCTGATGGATATAACAACAAGTGGAGTTCAAGGGGAAACTGGAAACCTTGTTTGCTGAAAAAATAGCAAGTTCATTTACACTGCACTTGAAAAGATTTCAGAGGGCCTCGAAAATGTTTTAATTGAAGATGCTATGGGGTAAAGCATCCACTAAGCAGGACCCAGCTCTTGCCATCAAACCAGCATCAAGGCAGACTAGCCACTGTGCCCAAAAACTCACCTTTGCTGCCAGAAGGGCTGGATTCAGTAACTCAAGACAGTTAAGCTACACAAGTGAGAGGCACATGATTACTTTAC